CTTTTTTTGTAAAATGGGTTTTCCTTCTTTCTACCTTAGCGATCATGATGCAGTATAATGGTGTTAACAAGGCTCCAGGTATTAACTCGACATACAGTGAATGATGTGAGCTGGACACCTTTAATTGGCTTCACAACAGGTTGTAGACTGTGAGGATTTCTCACTTTTGAAAATTCATTTTTTTAAATAAACCTTGATCGAACATCTTAACCTACCTCCTAACCCGTTATATGCTTTCACTTCATGTTTTAGCTAAACCTCATATCTTTTTAGCAAAGCTTTTGTCTGTAAATATTCATTTTCCTTGTTCTTTGTTTCAGTTTATGAGGTCCATGTTTTGAATTTGGACTTCAGAAATATCTTGTAAATATGTAACTATAGTTGTTATATTTGCAAGGGTTGAAATGCTCACTCGATTTAATCAATCATTAAATTATTTGAATTTCAACAACAAAAACAGCTTGAAATTTAGTTTTTTCTTCAGGTCATACTTCACGTGCCAAATACTGTCCAGTCGCAGCTTCTTAAATGACAGTGTTTGTGTTTTTATTTTATGCAATAATAAAGGAAATACATTTAAAAGACATCAAGCCGTGCGACCTCATGGCTCTGTAAATATTCATTCTTTTTTTTAACATCTTGTGTTCAACAATTTTGACAAATCAGTTAAAATGTAAAACTGACAAATGAACACACAATGAAAATAAACGTCTCTAGTTTTGATATACTCGTCAATTTTATAAAAGCCAAGTCCATATATGAGAAATAAATCTTCTCTTTACTGCTTTGACAGGGATGCATTTTGATACATCGCCCCCCGTGAACACTAGTGCTGATGCTTTTATTTTATTTTTATAAGAACCATTTGAAACATTTTTCTGTTTTTGGTTTAGTTTCAGGGTAACAGATGATGTTGTGTAAATTTTCATTTTTAATTGTAGTTTTTATATCACTTCTAAGCGTTTTTTAGAGGGGATAAATTACTGCCGACAGAAAAACATTTAAAGTCAGAGCAGTGATTGTGTGTGGAAGTTTCATGTTAATTGCAGATGTTTGTTTTTGCTTCATTTATTCCTCTGATGGAAGGATTTTAAAAACCCTCTGCTCATCTAACGCTTTAAAATTCAGCGATCTAGTAGATCTAAGAACTGCTCAGATAATGTTCAAGGCGTACAATCATTTGCCTCCGAACAGTATTCAGAGGTTTTTTTAAACTAGAGAGAGCCGGTATGAACTAAGGGGAATAGGTGTGTATAAAAAAACAAAGGTAAGGACAAACATAAAGAACAGGTGTAACCTATGCCATGGAATTAAGAATGTGTCGTTCACTTTCCAGATTTAAAAAAAAAAAGGTGTTTAACAAATATAAAAGATTGGTTTGATGTGTTTTGTGATTTTGACTTCTGTTTTGTTTTTTGTTTGTTTTCATTTGTTTTGTTTTGAAAGAAATTCTTGGAACATTTGGAAATTTTGTTCTGATATGTTTTGGTTTTTTTGTAACCAAACTAGTAGTGTCTTAAATAATAAGATTTGTAATAAGGGGAGGTGTAATAAGCTAAAGCTTCAGCGTACACCTTTTCAGTCAAAATGTTTTTGTTTTTTTCTTGTTACCGAAATAAATGATTAAACAATTAAATGAACAATAAATCCTATTTACTGTCATGAATTTATAAATTCCCACCCCCAAACAAAGAGGGACGAGGCTTTTCTGACAAATGCTGAGGATTACTCAACAGGTTATTACGTCAACAATATTACAAACTATGATCAGTGACACTCTATCATTTCAATCATCCTGAGGATGCAGTGTCTGTTGTTGACCACATGATGGCAGCCACACATCACACACTCAGAAGAAAGCGAACCTAAACCTCAGATACAGAGTCTCACAGGATGCAGGTTCTGCAGCCGCTCATAAAGATGCTAATTTAAACCCCAGCCAAGCTGCAGGCTGCACAGAAAATAAATGATGTTCAGATTCATCATTCAATGATTTTTTTTTTTTTCCACCATTCAGAAGCTGCCTGGCGGGATGTTTTTTTTTTTTTTAATGCAGTGCAGCCTTTTTGGAGAGAACCGCAGGGTGAGAAGAAGAAGAAGAAGACAGAGCGGGATCAATGCTGTTTGATTTCATGTTGAGTCTGAGCCCTGAGTATTAATGTAACAAAGTCAAGCTCCTCCAACTCTGAGAGGCAGCTCAATAATTAATCTGCTGTTACATCTATCTTAGTCGTCAAGTCACAGAGTCCCCTCTGAGGAGCAGCATCTCCTTTTTTAAAAGAACTGAATACCATGATGATGACACACTGATCCAACACCCTGCTACCGCCTCTTTGACGTAGAAATGTGTGCGATTCCCTTTCAGAGAAGAAACGCTCTTTGGTTAACATTTAATTTGACTTCATCTCAGTAATTTCTAATGAGTCGCATGAAGCATAGAAATTCTCTTTACGAGGTATGTGTGTTCAAAGCAGGAAGAACAATGAAGGCAGATTCTGAGCATGTGCATATGGATCCCATTATTGGACTCAAACCAAAAAACGAACATGGGGAGGATGATGATGCATCGACAGAGATTTTCGAAGCACCTGCCGAGTTTAAGTCCAAGGCCTGGAGCCCTAAAGCTAAAGACTGTCTTTATTTTTCGCTGCTTCCTAAAATAAGTTACCACATGGTTCGAATGTTCCACATACTCCAGAACTAAAAACACCAACCAGAATAAAAATGATGATATTTTTTCACAACATGTTCTCTCCTGATTCTGCACCGGATGTAAGCTTGAATTTCTGCTGATACCTGCTACCTTTCCCACACCATCCATCCATCCATCCATCCATCCATCCATCCTACAGGTAGGTAAGTAGACTAAAATGTGATCACATATGTATGACAAGGCACACGTTTATTTTTTAGAGGGGGCTAATATTCACGGTAGCCTATAAGCGCATTAGCATTCACAATATCCCATTAAAGGCTTTACATGTGATGTTTTGATCCAGCAGATGTCGCCCTTGAGCACCAGCATGAAACCAAAACAACTCGCGCTGCATTGTTGTGTTAGCATGCTAATGCTAGCGATCTTTATTATGCTGGTATCTTCACACTGCATGTAAATTTACCTGAAATGAGCGTGATCTAGAAACACAGTTAAGCAGTGAGTACAGTATGTTATTCTTCTTTTCTCTAGTCCCTCAATTAAACAACTTTTATACACGAGGGGAGGAGTCAGCCGGCTGTCCAGGCGATGTGAACAAAGTGAAGATAGGACTCTGAAAACTCTGAAAACATCACAGACAGTGGGACTCGGGTGTTACACCCATTGTAGACAGTCATGACTCACAGAGTTATTTTCAGAGGATATACTTGATTTCTACATTTAAGTGACAACAATCACATATAAAGCCTTTAAGGCCGTATTTGATGGAATTCTGATATTACTATTCTTTAACAAGCCAAAAAAGATACATGCAGGCATCCAGTCACACACTCACTCAGAGATTTAATCAAATGCATCCTTATTTTCGGTGAACACGACGCACCCACACCTGTCTTTTGCACAGAGCAGCAAGTGAAAACCTCAGTGAAGGACTGCAGCGTTGACTTTTTCAGCTGAAACCAGGTAAACTCCACTGTGACCACAATGTTTGATTACATCGCTCATGTGCATTTTATTTTCTCTGAAACATGTGTTCTCTATCTGGGACAGTGTTATCTGGGACAATGTACAGAATGCTATAACAGAAACAAAATGCATTAAGACCAAGCTCTTCACCACAAAGAGCTCTGAGCATCTGAATTCACCAGAAAATGCAAGAAAAAACTATACACGATACGAAGCAGCCTGATTGTTAACCAGAGGGGGGTTCGGCTTTCTATCTAGTGAGCCATCTGTCACGGAGTTCACACCCTCCCTACTTACCCAAAACGCTGCCAGCGCCTCTAAACCACGAGCACACACACACAGTCTGTAATGCAAAGACACACTGTATAGCCTAGTAGGCACACGTTCAAACCTGCTCACAGTCAGCTTGACGAGTTAATCAGCGAGTGCCGTGCATAAATTAACGCAAATGCAAATCATTGGAGGTGCAAATGGATTTTTTGTTGACCTTTAAAATTCAATATCTTAGCAAGCGACTGAAGCAGAAGAGATGAAGCTACGTTTCGAGATAGAGCTCATGATGGCAGCCATGATTTTCTTTTAAATCTTTAATAAGCTGAAGCTGTTTGCCAAATCGCAAATATTTAAACAACCGCTCACAGGACGACGCAATTAAGTCTGCAGACGTGGTCGAGATAATCTTTGTTTAATACAAAATGTCTCAACAAGGACCTTTGTAACACCTTTTAGATCTTAATTCATGTTGCTAAGCCTCCACTGAAAAAAAAAAAAGCATATTCAAAATATCCTGGACTCTCAGCGTACATGTTTGTGTGTGTGTCATCCTTTATCTTCTTTCAACTGGCGGTGCCGGGTATTATTTTTTGGTTTTTTTTCCCCAAAACAAAACGCCTGAGGTTAAATACTGATAAAAGCTTTTTATTCCTCTGAGGGATATTTACATGCTTTTTCTGCAGAAATTTCTTTAAAAATTAACAAATAAAGGCGCAAATGTTGTCTGTCTGTATTTCTAAAGACAAGCAGGGCTTTGCTCCCGACCATCGTAAATGAAGCTTTAAATAACTTACAGTCCGATCAAAGCACAAGAAACTTAAAAGTGCAAATCGGAGCAAGCATTGGATACAAGATTCTTTTCAATATTAATGTTTGGTTACCAGCCCTTTTAGCCCTTTTGTTTTTATTTGTACTTTTCTACTTTTTTTTTTTTCTTATAATGCTATTCTCTTTTATATATCATTTTTAATTTTTTTGTAGAAGCTGACTCAAGGAGAAACGCACAAAAATTCCAATGTACCTGTACTATCCTGTACCTGTGCAAATGGCAATAAACATCTATTCTATTCTAGCCTTTCCCAGTTCTTTTGTTCTCTCCACTCACCGATCTCTTTGCCCAGTCCGGAGCGCAGGATGGCGCCAGCCGAGGTGACCACGGCGCAGGTCTTGTAGCTGCTCCGGCCCTGATGTTTGTAAAGCTGCTCCAGGGGAACAGACGGAATGAGACGGCCCCAGCCGAGAGAGGAGAAGGGCTGCTCCGACCCGTCCACGGTCCTCAACCGGGCCTGGGCTTTCATCTGACACAGCAGCTCCTTGGCGCCCTGGGCCGGCCTGCGATGCCCGCTGAACGAAACGTGGTGTTTGTTGGCGCTCATGTAGTCTTTCATGGCGCGCTGGAGACGGGGACTGAGCATGCCGGCGGACACGCGGCCTCGCCACAGACGCTGCACCACAGAGGCCGACTTTGAGAAGTAATATTCCTCCAGATCGGAGGAGTCACCGCCGGCCCCTCTGCCTCCCGCTGCAGTCCTTATTCTGTTTCCTAGTTCTTCTTCTTCTTCATTGTCCCGGTCGTCTTCTTCTTCTTCTCCACCGTCGTGGCTTTGCGTGGCGCTGACAGGGTTCTGGTACTCTGCTGTCTGGGAGGTTTTCTCTCGACTCAGGGCCGCAGGGTTCGAGTGAGAACCCACATTTTCTGTACCAAAAGAGGACCAGGCAGCCAGACTCTGCTGGTCCAGGTAGTCCTGCTGACTGGCTTCCTGGCTAGCGTAATTGGCATAGGGGGCACCGTTGGGGCTGCGGCTCGCCTCGAGGCTGAGATCTGGGGTCGTGGAGCCGGCAGAAGGCTGTGGCTCTGGTTCCTGTCTGGTGTAGGATGTGGTTAAGGCGGAGGCTGGCTCAGGTTGGGATCCCAGGTTGGAGAGCTGTTGGTGGGAGGCCTGTATGGAGGCCAAGCGGCGAGTGTCGGGATGCTGGGAGAGCAAAGTGGAGGTCAGGGTCTCATTCACACGAGCATCTAGGAAGTAGGAAAGGAGGGCAAGGAAGAGGAGACCCCAGGCTAGCATTCCCGCCAGCACCAGCCGCCGCCACTGCCTCATGCTGGATTTCATCACCTCTCGCTCACATGCACGGTCTGTTCAGCTGGCCCACCAACAACAAAGCCCCACAGGACGCAGCCCCCGAGGTCAGCTGGAGGGCCTGTTGGGAAAAAGAGAGAGAGAAGGTTCATTACAGAAAATGTGGGAAAAATGTGCTGAAGTATAGTTTGGGATTTTCACACACCTCAACAGATACTTCTAGTTCTTCATGTCCTTGTGGCCTCGGGGATACAACAGCACCCTGTGAAGAGGAGGGGTACAAATTAGATGGAGTACAAATGCAGACATGAGGCTGAGGGCGCACAAAAAAACACTGCTGCTAACACACTCTCTCTCTCTCTGCAGGAAAACACCTCCTGCCAGGCACAACTTGGCTGCTTTTCCCCCTCACAACAACAAAAGGGACAATTTTTTTCAAAACAAGGACTGTCTATTAAGCAAAATCAAATGTACGGCTTCCCTCAAAAAAATCTGCAGCATGCAAGTCCCAATAAGAACCATAGACTGCTCCCATGTGCAATGTGTTCTCAGCAACCAAATATTATACAAAATATTAAGTATTCTTTATAAAACCTTCAATAAATAAATATACTGTATACACAAACATACAACACAACTGGAACTCGATTCAGACTCTTTTAGGTAAAGAGTGTGTTTATCATACACTGTATAAAAACGGATGTAGTATCAATTACATCACCCATTGGTTTCTAAAGAGGAGTTATGAAGCCCAACGATGGCCAAGGTGAAAAATGCTCTCAACCTAACATTCAGTCAATTTAGACAGTCAAAGACGTACTGTATAGAAGCGATCAGTGATCAGAATTCAAATGATAAAGCTAATTTGAAAATTAAAATCCATTAATAGAAATGAAATTTATTTGACCTATTAAAAATTAATATTCAGTCACTTTCCTGCGCCGTCCACTTTGCCATTTCATTTTTGAGTTTGAATTATAAATAACTTTTTAGCACGACAAGTTTGAAAATGAAAAGCCAAAGACCTTTTCATTTTCATTCGAATTATGTCATACAATATGCATACATAGAGATCAAAAGTATAATGCAAACTGGATGACTGAATATTAATTTTAAATATAGGTAAAATAAAGCACCTATATTCTGAAAATGTAAACGTGTTTCTGTTATTGCATTTTCATTTTAAAATTAGCTTCTTCATTTGAATTATGATACAAATTTAGCGGGGCAATTTTTTTAAAATGAAAAGGCAAATGTCATTTTCTTCTTCATTTTAATTTAGTCAAAGAATGTGCATTTTTGAAGTTGAAAACTAAAATTCAAATTAGATAAATTAGTCATCATTTTATTTTTGAGTCAAATAATACACTCGTATTCTGGAAATTAAAAAGCATTTCTATTAATGAATTTTAATTTTCAAATTAGCTTTATCATTTGAGTTCTGATCACTAATCACTTCCATAGTACTAAAGTAGGCCCTAAGCCTTCTTGCCAACAACTTCAAAGCCTTCACATTAAGTCAGCGCATAATTGCATATTTATGAATAAGTCTTTGGATTATTACAATCAAAACAAATTACTTATTTTCTAAAAAAAAGAATGTGTACAGAATATAATGTGTCCCAATAAAGAAACAAGCTGCAGATACGTAAACTGTCTGAACCCAGTCTGTAAACTGGTTTATTATGGCCTGGTGGAGATTCCTTGCTTTTGCAGCCAGCCGTCAAGTTGACAAACAAGGAACTGCAGTTTTTGGGGCTTCCATTTTTTCAACACATGGGTTGTCGCTTCGTGCTCATACTCTTGAGTGATTGGGAAGCTATCTGTACAAAAAGTCAGAAGATGTAATATACTATTTAGACTCTTTAAGTGGAGCTTCTCCAAACATGTAAAACCAGTAATCCCTTTGTTGTTTGCTTTGTTCATTCTTTGGGGATAGGAAAATTCTAATTTGTTTGAATCGCAGACTTTATATAGGAAGCTCATTCAGCCATTTGTGTGAACTCCGATTGTGAAACTAGTACCAAAACATGAAAGCAGAAGTGAGAATATTTAAATGACATGGTGAATACACATTCAGCCTCATAAGACAGTTTCCCATGTGGTGGCAACTCCCTTCAGCATATCCTGTTTTAATGTCATTTTACCCTATAAATAGAAACATCAAAAATCAACATCATCCTGTAACGAAGAAGACTTTTAGGAATTGATGAAGACTAAACACTGAAAAAGCTTTTTTAATGTAATAAATAAACCGAAAAAGTTAGCTCATTTGATCTTATTTCATTAATTTTAGTATGCAATCAGTCAGTATGCAGGAGTCGCCCCCTGCTGGCCATTAGTAAGAATGCATGTTCAAGCTACATCTTCACTGGCTCAACTTCTCAAACAAAAATTTTCAGAAACAGTGTACCATCTATGTAAGATAATATTTATGTAAATAAGAAACAAATCTGCTGCCATCATAACAACCAATGTTCCTGTGCTCTGCTTAAAGACACGATAATATAACCCCCTTTAAAACATGTCCCCGTCAACATTGTACAAGCGCACCAACAAAGAATTCTCTGCTCGTTTAGTTGCTGCACCGAAAAAAAACACAATCATTAAAAATAACACTCTCATTATCAGCCTGGCTTTCTCTAAAGCTCTGGAGTGAAAAAAACACCTCAGGTTCACTGATGGCTGCAAAGTGAAATACACAGCAATGAAGGTAAATAAATGAAGCATTAAATTGCCTCACATCAGAGGACTTACAATCCTCTCAACCACACGTAATTATGAGCTTTGGTCTCTTAATGTGGGAGAGAGAGAGAGAGAGAGAAAGGGAGAGAGAGAGAGAGAGAGAGAGAGAGAGGGTGGCAGGGTGAGGCAGGAAAAAAAAGGACTCCAGAGTGTTAAGCCTCCACTAGGCCTAATTACAGCTTCCTGTCTGTGTAGCTGCCGGGGTCCTGTAGAGAGCAGCAAGAGTGATCTCAGGCTGTGTCCCCCCTCCCCACTTTAAACTCAGACATCCAGGCCTCCTGCCCCCGGGGGCCACGCAGGAGGGCAAAGCTCATCCACTGACCCTGGTTAAGCAGGAGGAAAGCAGCAGGGAGCAACTGGGCCAGAGGGAGCGGATGGGAGAAAAAAAATACTTAAGACAAACACACATCTGCAAAAACACAAAAATTACTGTCTGAGAAAACCATTTTTTTTGTTTAATGCCTTGAGGCGATTGATGGTTTTGGGTTGACGGTATACGCTGTGTAGCAGTTTCTACATGTCTGGGGTCAAATGTTACTCTTTCTAAAGTCGTCATTTAACACCTGGCTACAACAACAGGCTTTTTGCACACAAAGAAAACAAGCTGGGGAAAAAAAAAATCACACAATGACAATGATGGCAACAAGCAATGTCATTTTAATGCATCACCGCCCCGCCAAAAAACTCACTTTGGATGTATTTGTGTGTCTGTGTATGTGTGGCCCCCGAGGCATGACACGCATGTATTAACGCACGCAAGCCGGTTTGCCTGCCTCACCTGGCAGCAATCAGGGATGAGTGCTTCAGTAACTGCGGCGAAACAACATAAATGCGTGGCACAGATGGAGAGGCGGGGGTGGAGGACAGAGCTAGTCTTGTGAGGGCTGCACAAAGACGCAGCACAAAACGGAAAACATGGAAACGAGATGCTGCCAGGAAGCAAAAGGACGACTAAACGACGAGTTTTAGCAGGAGAGATACGAGACGAGACGAGACGAGGACAGGAGTCTGATCAAAAAAAAAATGATTTACTGCAAACAGCAAAAACAAGCACCCAGTGTTCATGTATGACGAAGGGAGGGAGGAAGAGAAGATAAAGGTTAAATGTTTGCATGCGACTATAGCCCTCAGGGGGATAATTACAAGGTGTGTGATAAGCATCCACAAGAGGACAAAAATAGGAAGAGAAATGAAACGATGCTCTGTTTGGGGTCACAGGTGAGCTCTCGGTATGCAACCAATCACAAGACTCCTATTTCTCTGACGCGTCACAGCTGAATCTGCATATCATACTATTCTAAAATAGAGAAAAATGCCTAAGATTACATCATTTAAAGTCTTTCTATGTGATCTTTCACACTTAAAATGTAGAAATCAAGTATATCCTCTGAAAATAACTCTGTGAGTCATGACTGTCTACAATGGGTGTAACACCTGAGTCCCACTGTCTGTGATGTTTTTCAGAGTTTTCAGAGTCCTATCTTCACTTTGTTTACATCGCCCGGACGGCCGGCTGACTCCTCCCCTCGTGTATAAAAGTTGTTTAATTGAGGGACTAGAGAAAAGAAGAATAACATACTGTACTCACTGCTTAACTGTGTTTCTAGATCACGCTCATTTCAGGTCAATTTACATGCAGTGTGAAGATACCAGCATAATAAAGATCGCTAGCATTAGCATGCTAACACAACAATGCAGCGCAAGTTGTTTTGATTTCATGCTGGTGCTCAAGGGCGACATCTGCTGGATCAAAAAATCACATATACAGCCTTTTAATGTCTTGTTCTGTCCAGTATACATAGATAACCAATCACAGAAGAACAGGAGCTTATTTGCATGTAAGTGTTTAAAAGAATTTTGCTTCCCTTTTACTTTCTTGAACAAAATAAAAATGACTAATCTGCCAAAATGATTCATGTTATTATTATACCAGCCAGACAGCATTGTGTCTGAATTATGGGGGGAATGTTTGGATAAAAGTAATGAATTCATTTATTATTCATGTTGTATGAAATGTCAGAAAAAAAGCTGATCAAACTTTTATGAAGCCTTAAGGGACCCAATTCAAATGACTTGTTTTGTCAAGCCTCAAATCGAGCAAAAGAAAAGCTGGAGAACTGGGACTATTTATTCTATTGACAAGAGATAAAAATGACTTTGCTAGAAATACACCATTGGCTTCAAAAGTCGGATGAGAGTCGTTCCCACAGAATAGAAAAAAAAACATTGTGAGCTTAGTTTAAAGATTAGAGACTGAATCCATTTTTACATATACACTCCTGAAAAAATCTAGATAATGTCAGGAGGACTGCTCCACATATTCTCCTGACTTGGCTGTTCACATATGCACCTCACAGATGCAGAAACGACGCGGAAGTAGCGGACAAAGCAACAGTCTGCTATATTCTACAATTCTGCAATTCACTGAGCAGACGCTTTTCTCCAAAGCGACGTACATCAGAGAGTAAGAACAACACAAGCAAGGATCTAGAAAAGAAGGGAACAATGTGAGTAAGA